TGTACTAACTATTAAAAAATTATTAACCTTAAAAAATTAGCATACAAAGGAACATCTTTTATCATGGCCTTTTCATTTTAATGCACCCTTTGTTTTTATGATATCTCACCCGCCCTGCTCTGACCCCAGCATGGGTTCAGAGAGCATCTAATCAGGCTGGTACCCTTGACTGGGAGGTTAGTTGACCTTGTGATATAATCCAAATCACTGACATTGGAGTAAAGAACCTAGGTCCTTAATGACTGCATCAAACAACCCAGAGAACTTCCTTAGCACCCTCTAGTCAAAAATGTCAATGAATGGCATCATATGACCTACACTTTGTATCAACAGCAATCACATAATATCAAACACCAATGATAAGTAAGTTGAATACAAACATTTAATAAGTGTGGTAAATGAGACTATTCGTGACTAAAGTTCACTAAGAATAGACAAATAGATAAACCTATTAATGAATACGTTTCATTGCCTAAGCATTGTGCAATGGTCAATAATAGACTGAAAAGTTTAAAATTCAAACCACTAACAACCTTAAAACAAAACAAAACAAAACAAAAATGTAATTTAAAAACTTTGAAAAGCTGGAGGTGGTGGTGCATGCCTTTAATCTCAGCACTCAAGGCCAGTCTGGTCAGGAATGCGAGTTCCATAACCAGAGCTACATGGTGAGACGCTGTCTCAAGGAAAAAATAAAATTTAACCAGGCACATGCATTTAATCCCAGCACTCAGGAGACAGAGGCAGGAGGACCACTGTGAATTTGAGGCCAGCCTGGTCTACAGAGAGACTTCCAGGACAGGCTCCAAAGCTTCAGAGTAACCCTGTCTTGAAAAATCAAAAAGAAAAAAGAGAGAGAGAGAGAGAGAGAGAGAGAGAGAGAGAGAGAAAGTAAAATGTGGACAAGTATTATGAAAAGTTTAAATGCAAAATGTAAGAGAGAATTTCCTCTGAGTGTTTAGGAGGTTATTTTTTGGACCAATGGAAATCTGTCTGTGATTCAGATAGACAGAAAGAAGCTCATATCCGAGGCAGTGAAGGAGAAAAGCAGCCAACACACAGTCTTCCATGAGGTCTAGCTTTTGCTGAGGACACCACTTCTGCACTTTTCACAGGCAGCACTCTTTCAACTTCTAGCCTCACCAAACAATAAAAAAAAAAGTCTCTTCTGGGTCTCAGATGTGCAAAAGCTTCTTTGTCAATAAAGATCGGCTTCGGCAAGCTGCAGATGTTATCATTACTCAAGAAGGTCTGGAAGCAAGGCTAGAGTTATGGCAAAGTAAATTCTGTTCTCCATTCCACTCTGCTATTCCTGTGGCTATGGGTACACATAGATCAATATTCCTTGGCATGAGGATTTTGCAGTACAATTTTCACTTGTAGCAAGCAAGGGGGGAAAAAGCCTTAAGCATGCTCTGTCACTTCCAGTTTAAGAGAAAATGCACTAATAAACTCTTAGCCATGGGTCATGTTTGACAACAGGCAACACTATGCCAACTCTCATTAAAGACTATTCATATCACTGCCCCAAAAATTTCCTTTAAAATTACCATCTTTTGTGTCCATACAGCAGGACATCAGTTTCAAATGTGCCACTGAGAGATATGACTTGTCATCATGTCTAATTCTCCCTATTGTTTCAATACCAGGACAGCTGACCCCCTGACGCAAGGTTCTGGTTAGTAATCAGGACCCCCAGGGAGATAGTTTTGGTTTGCAGAGTTTATTTTGTGGTTATCCGGACAAATAAGAAAACATATTCCTCTATATTGGTTCTCAGATAAAAGGATAGGCAAATTATCACCTGCAAATATTTGATGCAGATCCTAAAACATGTTGAAAACAAGCGAAACTGTCAAAAGTATCAACATGGATATTTGTAATGTTAACAAAAGTACAGCTAACATGTCCAGAGCTCGGTGATATGTTAACACATGCATAAAACAAAATCTAAGGTAAAATGAATAATAAGTAGAAACTTTTTTTGTTGTTTTTTTTGTTTTGTTTTGTTTTGTTTTTTTGAGACAGGGTTTCTCTGTGTAGCTTTGGAGCCTATTTTGGCACTCACTCTGGAAACCAAGCTGGCCTCGAACTCACAGAGATCCGCCTGCCTCTACCTCTGCCTCCCAAGTGCTGGGATTAAAGGCGTGTGCCACCCGGCTAAGTAGAACTTTTTTTTAAAAAAAGATTTTATTTATTTATTATGTATACAGTCTTCTGCCTGCATGCAGGCAGAGGGCATCAGATCTCATTCAAGGTGGTTGTGAGCCACCATGTGGTTGCTGGAATTGAACTCAGGGCCTCTGGAAGAACAGTCAGTGCTCTTTACCGCTGAGCCATCTCTCCAGCCCAGAAACTTTTTTTTATGAAAGAAAAATAGTTAAATTTTGTGTGGAATTTAAGAATTCTTTTTAAATGCTATTAAAACAATGTATTTGTCACTAACTAAAGAAAACTAGAACTCAATAAAATCATTGAAATATACTTATAAATCATGCAACAAGGAACAGGCACATTAACTCAGTTCTTGTATGCTTGAAAAATCATCTATAACACCCTGGGTTTCATATCTAGCAACTTCAAAAGACAAGTGGGGAAAAAAGAGTATTACAAATAATGAAGATCTCTAATCATGCCACACTAATTGTTTTTAATAAATGAGAAAATTTTTCCATTAGTATAAGGAAAGTACATGGAAAACACTGTCACCTGCCACACACAAACATCCAATACATCCACTGTGGACCCCCTTCTTAAGAAGTGTATATGTAACTGTGCATGTGTGCTCATACATAATATATCTTCTCTATTGCATCACATGTGTATTGTAGTAGATAGGGTGTGCAAAAACACTCTAAGCACCCTAAGCAGGGATCACTTCTTTCAAAGGTTGCATATTTGGCTACTTACACAGGACTTGGAAGACACAGAGAGCATGGCGTTTCAATAACAGACCCACATCCCTGCAAACACAGCATGAGAAATACCTCAAGAATGCCCAAGCACATCTAGTGTCTTCAGAATTAGGCTGATACAAAAAAGACAGCAATGGTGCTCAATACCAATGAATTAGACTCACGTGAGGTGGACCAAAATGTGGTCAAAACTACTGACTAAGCCCTGATCAATGTGACTGTATAGTATATCATCTTTTCTCAGCCAGGCTGTAGTTTTCTTACTCTTTGATGAAAGGGTCTATAATTTTATGAACTCATGTAGGTGAGATGAGTTACAAGTCAGGTTACATTGAGGGCAAGAGCATATCCATCCCAGAAATATCAAACAAAAAACTTTTGTTTTATTTTGTTTTGTTTTTAATGAGCTATACCATCTCAACAATGTATATAAGAAACGAAGAGGATTCGTTGATAATGTGAATGCTAGAGAAACCTAACATGGCAAAGAAGGAACATGGCTGTGTAGTCTAGCTCCATCAAGTATTATATTGTTATGGTTCTGGGAGTAATATTAACTGAGCTGAATTTTAATTTCCTGTTCTCTATAGTTATAAAAGAATAATGTAAGAGAATCAAGCACAACGCCAAACAATGTTTCTAATAATTATTCATCCTCAAGCATTATAAAATAGATAAATGAGATATGAATATATCTCATTTTTCTTTCCAGCCCTGGGCTATGGCATGTACTGTGCTTTCTGCCTGTTGTAGTTTCTGGAGTTTGTTTGTTTATTTTCTTTTTTAAAGGCTTATTTATATTATTATTCACATGCATGTATGTGTATCTATGTGAGGATCTTTGCAGTAGGTGTGGTTGCCCAAGGAGGTCAAACAACAGTGGTTGGATCCCCTTGAGCTCAAATTACAGGCAGTTGTGAGGCACCTGATGTGGGTGCTGGGAACTGAACTTGGGTCCTCTGAAAGTTTAAAATGCTCTCTTAAGCACAATGTGACCTCTCTAGTCCCACGAATGCATGTTTGTCCAATGACTTCTACAATCTACATGACTTCAGAACCTTTGTCTCATCCTACAATTTCCTAATAGAAAAGACTCATTCACAAATGGCTCCTCTATTGTTCTGTGCAGTTTCACAGTCCAGTTTTCATTAGGTTGGCCAAATATATCCGTGTTGATGTTTATACAACTTCACATTATTTTCATTTGTGTCAAGGCTGACTGTCTGATATCTGATTCAACTAATTCTCTTTCTCTCTCTCTGCATTTCATCTTGCCACCACCTCAAAGAAGCTATGAATCCACTTTCACGGCAAGAGCATACCATAATCACATGCTACACATACATAAGATCACACACATTACATATTGCACATTACATAAGATTCCTAAGGTACCCACTGTCAAAAGTCATGTCGACAGGATCCCTGTGTTCTCTCTACACTGCATCCGTACAACCTAAATCACTGCCTGAGATAAAATAAGGACTCATAAATTTTTAATACAGGTAATATACATCTTGACCTTCCCTACGTTTTCCCTGTATTCACAATAGATATGCCTAACATGACAAACTCTCGTGTCCCTCTAATAAATTTAGCATCTAAAAAGATTAGAAAAAAAGCTCTTCCTAACTTTGTAAAATTTGAGAAAAGAGTAGAATTAATGAGTATTTAATATAGAGATTTGCTACTGACAATGTTTATAGTTCTACCTGAAATATTTACTGTGACCTTGTTGTCACAACATTTCTTGGAATAAAGCACTGTAGCAGTACCTGTGGAATTTCTTGAACAAGAGGGAACATCTCTCAAGTTGGAATGACAACTACAAGGAAGAAAATACTGTACACGTTTCATCACGTTGAACATAGCAAATAAGATTTCCTTTGATGAGACACTAGTTGCATAATTAATTGACAAATGTTAAAACTAGTCTCCATTCTATTTGACATTATCTGAATTTTGATAACAATACAGAATAGTGACTTGTAATGAAGAATACCATGGTTTCAAACCATCACTGTCTATAATATAAACTTACTCAGTTCTAATAAAAGCATGCAATTTCATGAAGCAAAGTGTTACCTCTCACAATAAGTTGAGCAAAATTGGAGACCCCAGAACCTCGTTCTGACTGAGTTACACAGCGGTACAAATCCTGGTCAGTTTTTGTCACTTCTTGCAATCTGAAAGAGGCAGCAAATCTTCTGTGATTGATGTTCTTAGTCTGGGCTACAGGTATGTCTTCTCCATTGCGTCTCTGCAAATAGAAACCAATCTTTAGAAACAGGTTGTTTACCATGCCATAAATCTAAAGTATCTCAGCAAAGCAATATCTATGATGAATTATTCTGGTTGCTGAACCATTTGGAAGATACCTGCATAGCCCCACAGAATTTTGCCTTTGTCATGCAATCAGGGAAAGGAGACAAATAATATCAGAATCCTTAAAAGAATGTATAGTTGATTCTATATTCTCAGTTTTCCATAAAAATTATTACAGCAAAATATGTACATTAACAAAAACAGCTGATTGCACCACAGAAAATGAGTCATGGTACCTTTATGGGTAAAGAAGTAGGCTTATTTCTGGTGTTACCCAGATGTTCTGCACATACTATGTGAGAGTGATCCCCCAAGAGATGAAGATCATGCTATACACATGCTTATTCCAAATGTATAGTGTGTACTTGGCACAGAATGACAATAAAATACTGATTGATGATTGAGAGTGAGCCCGAAATCTGTGCTCTTGGCAAACTACTATCTCTTCAGGATTAATGACATCCAATTTATACTTTTTAAAGAAGTAATCAAAAACAGGCCTAACTGGTAAAAGCATATCTGTCAAGTTTAAAAATGAAAAAGTAGGAAATATATTTATGATACCACAGTATCTCATAGAAAACCAATAAGCATAAACTATAAGGGAGATGATGGTAAGTTTCAACTATAGTAAAATTTATAGCTTGTATATGTTGAAGGACATCATAAATAGAGTGAGAGGGACATAGGTTGTGATGAGATATTCGTCAAAAAATATAACAAAAAGATAAACAGCTAAGATATGTAAAGGTCTTCCATAGTCCAATAGGAAAATTGATAAACAACCAGTCAAAAACCAGACAGGCTATAAAAAGATAAAAGGCATATGTCTAAGAACAAGGAAAGGAGCCATCAGTCCACATTTTCAAACTTCTATATGTCAAATACAGACAAATGTCAAAGAAAATCTCTAAATATGGAAATGCATCAGTTAGGAGCTCAAGCTCCTTTCCTTGTTTTGATAAATTTCCAAAGTCCTTAACTATACAATTTCTAATCATAGTTTTCAAATATTATACACATGAATATAATGGAATACAACTATCTAAACAAGAGTATACTTACACTTAAGTCTCACTTATGTTTTTACTTCTTCATTTATGATTCTGTTAATTATCTCCTGACCCACTGATTCTATGAATTGTGTACCAAGAAACCCTGCTCAGGAAACTTACATGATATGACAGAAATCTAAATATAATCACCAAATAACAGAAGAGAAAAGGCTCCAACTAGACCCCTCTTGACACTAAGCAAAACCTTCAGTGCATTGGTTTCATTTGAGTTGTTGACCAAAGGTACCTCATAGAAACCATGAAGGATTGTTTGCTCTCCAAAGACTGATATTAAGAGCTTATTGTTAAAGACAACACCTGTATATCTCATAGAACACAAAGAAGTCAAGTTAATGCCTAACTAGACTAGTGCTCTAGTCTTATCACTAATTAGAGACCAGTGTTCATGGTACTAGAAGACACTTTGCACTGTATAAGAGGAAAACATTAAAAACAAACCCAGCTATAAACCAGTGATCTACAATGGTGATGTGTCTAGCATGAAACACTGGTGCATTAGTGGCACAGAAGTTATGGGAGTAAACAATAACCATTGGGTGTAAGGCCTACTGCATGAGATAGAACCCATGCCTGACAGTGCTTAGGTGGCCAAGAACCAGAGACTAGATAGGTCATGGACCTAAAAAGAAAGGCAAATATTATTATTCTGCTAAAGTAACACACCAATAAAATGACTCATGACGTCATTCTGCTATACCCATAGATTAGTGTCTTGCTCAGCCAGCATTAGAGGAGCTTTACTCTATAGAAGATGGAAAATAACACAGAGACCCACAACTGAACAATATGCAGAGAGCCAAAATATCTTAGAACATTAAGTCCTAAATGGGATGTCTCCATCAAATCCCCAATCTCAGGGATCAAAGCACGATTGTGAAAGAGGAGGTAGAAAGATTGTAAGAGTCAGTAGAAATGGAAAACACCAAGGAAACAGTGCCTTCCAGACACAACAATCCTCAACCACATATGAACTCACAGAGGGCAGGGTGAGAAGGTAGAAAAGACCTAAGAAGAGGTGAGGGAGGGGAAACAGTGATCAGAATACACTGTATAAATAAATATTTATCTTCAATTTAAAAAAAGAAAGAAAAAACAGCTTATATTCATAAGCCCTGAAATATAAACCCAGAAAATCAGGCTAAATTCTTTCTCTTCCAGAACCCATATAAACAAAAACACTCATTACATATGCAAATCTCAGATGGATTTCCTTTTCAATTAGCACACCATCTCCATGCAATCTTTCTAATTGGAGGACAGACAGGACTCAGCACTCCTCTCCGAGGAGCCCACCCACTTCTAGCCCTCCTTTTGCCTCTGGCAGAGCTTGCAGGGTTTGCTGCCTTTACTTCTGCCACTTACCCTCATTGCTGCTGCAAAACTATTGCTATTGTGTGTCCTGCCTCCCTGATGCTCTCAGACAGGAGCACACCACTCCTACCAGGTCTCTAGGCTAGAATCCTCTGCTGTCGAAAGGTACCTAGAATGTTCTCCCTCAGTACGTATTACTTATACTTATAGTACCATGATAGTTTCCTCATGAATCACAATTACTCCTTGTGGTTTGAAAGAAAATGGCCTCTAAAGGCTCCCAAAGGGAGTGTCACTATTAGGAGGTGTGGCCTTGTTGGAGGAAATCTGTCACTGCAGTTCAGTCTACCTGTAAAAGTTGCCCTCTGACTTGCACATGCTAGGACACATACACATACATTTCTTTTTCTTTTTTAAATGTGAGCAGGGGAAATGTGTCCATTCCTCTTCCAGAGAATCCAGGTTTGACACCTGATTCCCTGCACCCACATGGTGCTTCACAACCATCTATAATTCCAGCTCCAGGGAATCCAACACCTGGCTTTGATAAGCATCATGCATGTATGTGGTGTATAAAGATACACACAGGCGAAGCACCCATACACATAAAATAAATGCATTAGTAAAATATTTTAATTAACAAAATTAAATGAAAAAACTTAATGTGTAAAGATGTTGTATATATAATAAATAAATCTTAAAAAAAGCAAGTAATTTTTAAGTGTTATAATTAATCCCCCAGTGTTACTGAGAACCAAGAATACCCAGATTGGTGATCCCAGAAGAAGATGGGGAGGGAGGATTTTAGGAGTCAGAGTGGTCAAGGACATCACCAGAACAAGACCCAGAGAGTCAAGTAAGCAGGGCTCATAGGAGCTCACAGAAAATAAAGCAAGAAAGATGGACCCTGTATGGATCTGTGCTAGGCCCTCCGAATATACCTTATGGCTGTACACAGCATGGTGTTCTTGTGGGACTGCCAACAGCGGGAGTGGGGAGGTGTCTCTGACTCTTTTAACTACACTTAGGTCCCTTTTCTTCCTACTGTTTTGCCTCCTCCAGCCTTAACATGAGAACTCATGGCTAGTCTTATTGTAACTATTAGGACATGTTCAGTGAATATCCATGGGAGACCTGCTTTTTTTGTGTGTGTGTGAGAAATGAAGAAGTAGATCTGGACAGGAGGGGAGGCCAGGGTAGAGCCTGGAAGGGGGAACTGTGGTCAGAATCTAATGTATGAAACAAGAATAAAAGAAAAATTAACAAAAATACCCAGAATAGCAAAAGATGTCAGGTATGGTGGCACCTGCCACACACAGCAACTGGGAGGGGGTGAGACTGGTGGATCAGGAGTCCAAGATCAATTTCTTTTGTCTTAACCCCCAAAAGTCATTTAAGGACAGTTTCAGGCTCACAGAAAGTTAAGTTCACATGAACCTTCCCACGTCACATACTCACAGTCAGCACTAAACCAGAGAGGTGCATATGTCATCACTGGCATCCCCACACTGAACACCATTATCACTGACTTCATCATACTTGACACTGTGATCACTTCTGATGCTGAACAATCTATATGTTTGTACAGACTCAGGTCTGGCACCTCAGTTGCCATGTGGCATATAATGAAAATAAAAATGATACAGAGAGGTGTTTCAGGAAATTTGGACACCCCCCCCTCTCTCTCTCTCTCTCTCTCTCTCTCTCTCTCTCTCTCTCTCACACACACACACACACATGCTCTCTTTGTTTTACTGTATAACCCCAGCTGTCCTTAACTCTCAGAGATCCACCTGCTTCTGCCTCCCAAGAGCTGACCATAACATATTTTTAAATGCCGGAGTTTATAACAATACTGATAAAAACAAAATCACTCATTTTGCTATGATGGCAATGCACCAACTTGCTATATTGAGAACAAACAAATGAAGCAAAGATTGCAGGAGCATCTCCCAGGTAATTTCAGTCTCATCAAATTGAAACTGAGATTAATCATAGCACAGTGTGTGATAGGCATGTATTAGAATACATGTTACATTAAAGCAAAGAGGCACAGAAGGGTACAAGGGCAGCAAAAAAAAAAAAAAAAAAAAAAAAAAAAAAAAAAAAAAAACAGACAATGAAATGGAGAATTAGCAAAAATAAATTATGCTGAAAATAGCATCATGAAATATATTATTTTGTATACTGGTGATTTTAAGCAAATCACAAAATAAACAGAAAAGAAATAAAATCAACAATGAGGCATTAAAATTACCTTTTTCAACTGGATGAATTAAGGGCATTAAGGAATAGCAGTGCTAAGAAAAAGAAAGATGACACCATTGAACCCTTTGCAATCACACCAGGTCGCACTTACACTGTGATCATAGGATCAAATTTGACCCTAGACCTGGTTGCAAATTCCTGGAAAACACAAAGGAAACGGAACCATGCTGACCTGAAGTGAGAAAAGGAAATTGAGGAGGATGACCTACCTTTTAAAGGGCCTATTTGTCTGCCAGGCAGTGATGACACATGCCTTTAATCCCAGCACTCTGGAGGCAGA